GCAGGCCTAAAGATGAACTATATAGTAGTTACCCAGATGAATGACTTTTTTGTCTCATCACAAATTGCTTTAACAGATGCAGCCAACGAATACATTTCAAACTGGTGATCTCCTATATTTGGATAGGGCAGAGATATTCTTCCACCATTTCTTGCCACAAATTGCACTCTGAAGAATTTAATTATTATGGAAGTTCTTTGATCTCTTTATACTGATTCCATGAATAAATATAACTCACATTAAAAAGCCACTAAGATAACTACATAAATGTCAAATTAGAGACCATATTGAAAATTAAACAATTTCCAAGGGATGTTTAAAATATTATAATAATGCCTAGAAAATGTGAAGGTAACAGTAACACTTCATGCTCCATATGACTTTAGAATACAAGAGGTATATTTTGTCCTTCTTAACCAGTAGCAAGATTTTTCTAAATATTTTCTAATTTCACTGACTGGAAGAAAATGTTTGGGGATGGGAGAATATATAGATACACATAAGTAAATAAATTAAGCAGGAACAGAATACGAGTGACAAATGAGTAAGGGGTCAAGGAAGGGCTGACTAATGTTAAAAGTTTTTTAAATTTTAGGAATATTTAATAAGGTAGGAAAATTTAATAGAAATGAAGAAAAAACAGAAGATGTTTAAATTTAATGACCACTTGAGATACTTATATATTGTAGCAGCCAGGAAATAAGCAAACAAAATGGTGGATTCCATCATACATAATCAACATGAAAATACTAAGGAATTTAGGGTACATCAAATTTTGATCACACAATGACAAATGTTGCTGATGATTCCTTATACTCCTAGCATAAATGTCTGTTTCAAATTTCTACTATACGAGTTTTATTCAGCCATAAAGAAAAACAAAATTATGTTTTTGCAAGAAAATGGATGGAACTTGAGACCGTTATGTTAAGTGAAATAAGCAAAACTTAGAAGGTCAAGGGTCATATATTTTCTCTTATATGTGGAAACTAGAGAGGAAAAAGGAAAATAAAGGTAGGGGTGATCACATGAAAAGCAAAGGGAGATGAAGAGAATAGAGGAAAGGAACCAAGGGGTGGGAAGATGGAAAGAAGCAGGAAAGTCATAGGGAAGGATATTGGTCAAATTATATTGTTTTTGTGCATGAACCAATATGTAACATCAAATCCCATATTATGTGCAATTATAATGCTCAGTTAAATAAGGTGTGGAAAATTCTTATTGTAGAGAAATCAGAAAATCAAGGGAAACAAAAAGAAAAACCTACAATTTGGTTGCTTGCAACTATTTGGATATGACTACTGCTACTATTACTCTGGTATAATTTCTTTGGAATTCATTTCCTATAAAATGATGTCCAGTAAAAGCACATATTTGTGTGTGTGTGTGTGTGTGTGCGCGTGCGCGCGCACACACACACACACGTTTACACACATATATAAAAGCAAACATATTAATCCCTCATGATACTAAATTAGTTAAAAATTTTTGCCCATGAAGGCATTCTTCCAAATGCATTAATTTAGGGCAGCATTACCATGATAACAAAACCAGCTAAGGTCGACAAAAAAAAAAAAAAGAAAGAAAACTGCAGGCCAATATGTTTGATGATCATAGAAGAAAAATTCTAGCAAACTGAATCCAGCAGTACATTAAAATGATTATCATACACCATGATCAAGCGGGATTGATTCCAGGGACACAAAGATGTTTTACATACACATTAACAATGAAGGGCAAAAACCACCTCAATAAATGTATAAAAGACATCTGATAAATTTTAACATCCCTTCCTGATAAACACACAGCACGAATGAAGTATAAAAGGAACACACCTCAACATAACAAAGGATATTCGTACCAAGCCAATAGATGTCATTATATTAAAAGGGGAAAAGCTGAAAGCTTCCTCCCTAAGATATGAAACAAGTCAAGGATATAAACTTTTGCTACTTTCCTTCAACACATTTCTGGAAGGTCTAGCCAGAGAAATCAGGCAGAGAAAGAAGTAAAAGATAAATACCCGAATTAGAAAAGAAGTCATTGAGTTATCACTTTTTACAGATGACACAATCATATATGTGTGTGTGTGTGTGTGTGTGTGTATCCCCCCCAAACTCCATCAACAAATTATTATAAGTAATAACTGAATTCATCAGAGTTGCAGAATACAAAATCAACATGTAAAAATCAGTAGTGATGCTACATGTCAGATAGCCGATTATCTGGCACAGAAATCAAGAAAGCAATGAAATTTGCAACAGCAATAAAATATCTAGGGATGAATTTAACAAAGAGTTGAAATATCTGTATAATAAAAATTATAAAACCCTGATGAAAGAAAGAATATTGTTAAAATGCCCATACTACACAAAGCAACCTACAGATTCAAGGCAGTCACTATCAAATTACCAATGCCATTCTTCAAAGACCTAAAAATTTTTTTTAAAATATTATTTAGTTGTCAATAGACCTTTATTTCATTTATTTATTTGTGGTGCTGAGAATCAAACCCAGTGCCTCACACATGCTACATAAGCACTCTACCACTGAGTCAAACCCCAGCCCCAAGACCTAAAAATTAATATGGAACAATGAAAAATCCCAAATAGACAAAGCCATCTTGAGCCAAAAAACAAACAAATCAGGAGCACAATTTTATCTTACCTGACTTCAAAAGAGACTACAAAGTTGTAATCAACACAGTGTGGTATTGGCATAAAAACAAGCACACAGACTAATGGAACATAATAAATATCCCAGAAATAAACTGAAATATCTATGGTCAACTGATTTTAGACAACAGTGGTAAGAACACAATGGAGAAGGCAGTCTTTTCAATAACTGGTGCTGGGAAAATTGAACATAAAGATGCAGAACAGGGAGTTACAGTGGCATATGCTTGTAATCCCAAGAGCTTGGGAGGCTGAGACAGGAAGACCACAAAATCAAGGCCAGCCTAAACAATTTAGGAGACCCTGTCTCAAAATAAAAAAAAAAAAAACAAAAAGTGGAGTGCAGGGCTAGGGATGTGTAATTAAACACCCTCGAGTTCAATCTGAAGTACAAAAAAAAAAAAAAAATCTAGAGAAATGTAACTGAAACTCTTAGTAGTAAAACATGTAAAAATCAATAGTGATGCTACATGTCAATAGCCGATATGTAGCCGACAACTCAAAATGGATTAAAAATTTTAATGTAAATACCCAAAACTACATTATTACTGGAATAAAACATATGAGATACACCTCCAAACACTGGAATTCACCATGATTTTTTGGATAAGACACAAATGCACAGGCAACAAAAATAAAATGAGATAAATGAGATTATGCCAAACTAAAAAGTTTTACACAGCAAAAGAAACAATCAACAAAATGAAGACACAATCTGGAGAAAATGAGAAAAATCTTTGCAAATTATACTTCTAACAAGGGGTTGAGATCCAGAATATGTCAAGAATTCCAAAATTTCAATTTCAAAACAAACAAAAAACACAGATTAAATAATGGGCAAATAACCTGAATAAAATTTTTTCAAGAGAATACAAAGGGATAACAAGTACATGAAAGAAAACCACTAGCCATAATGGAAATGCCAGTCAAAACACAATGAGATATCAACTCACTCCACTCAAAACGACTATTATGGAAGAAGAATTAAAAAAAAAAAAAAACCCTAGGAAACACTGGCAATAATGTAAAGAATGGGTAACTCTTAGAAACTGCTGGTGCAAAGGTCAATTAGTACAACCACTGTGGAAAACAGTATGAAGATTACTGAAAAAAATTATAAAGAAAATTGCCATACGATCCAGCAATCTCACTACTAGGTACATATCAGAAGGAAATGAAATTAGGTGAAACGATGCTGGCACTCCCATATTGATTGCAGCATTATTCACAATAGCTAAGAAATGGAAACAACCTAAGTGTACATCAATTGACAAATAGATTAAAAAAAAAAGTTCAATTATACACTGGAATACTTTTCAGCCATAAAAAGAATGAAATCCTGCTATCTGTAACAACATAGAAAGAACCAGAGATCACTATGTTAAGTGAAATAAGCCATGCACAGAAAGTCATATACTATATCATCTCATGTAGATGAGTGAGATGATCAACTCTAAAAAAGTTGATCTCATAGAAGTTGAGAATAGAATGGTGGTTACTATATACTGGAAGAATAGCAGGGAGGAAGGCCTAGAGAAAGGTTGATTAATGACTACCATGTTATAATTAGACAGAAGCAAGAACTCTTGTGTGCAAATACACAGTAGGATGACAGATAACAATACCATATTATACGTTTTAAAATCCTAGAAGAAATTATTTTGAAAGTTTTCACCACAAAGAAATGGTGTTTCACGAAGTAGATATTAACTTGACTTAAACATCACACAGTGTATATTTCATGGGTATATAAAATATTTGTTTTTATGTATCATTTAAAATACATTTGACAAATTAATTAACTTCTTAAAAGGCATTCAAAGGATCCTATTGGCCCCTTCTAACATTTGAGGACACAAAGAAGGTGCCATCTATGAGAAACAGGCCCTTACCAAACACACTGTTGCTGGCACCAAGATCTTAAACTTCCCAGTCTCCAGAACTGTGAAAAATAAAATTTTTGTTGCTTATAAATTATCCTATGTAGGGTACTTTGTTACAGAAGCCTGAACAGCTAAAGCAGGAAATAAAGAAGAAACCAAGCAGCCTAGGAAGAAAAATTATAGAAAGAATGGGAAAGTCACAGAAACCACTTCACGGGAGAACTAGATAATTATGGCTGTGAAGATTTAGCCATTCAAATGTTTTCAGGCAAGGGTAAGGTATGAAATGAGTTACTGTATGACTTTACATTATATGCATAAATACTATGAATAATAAAGGGGAAAAAATCTCCAGATATACAATCTGGCAACTACAACAGTGCCCCCCTCCCTTACTCCTTGAGCAAACAAAAAACACAAATAACCCAACTAATATGCTTACAGGTGCCTTTCATGCATGTCATCGTTGAAGAACATAACTCAATGACTCGAACAGAAAAACTTCCTGGCTCCTCTGCTGGTACTATTAAAATGGAAATCTAAAAAGCAGAAACAAAATATCAGACACAGCTCTTAGATCTCATTTGTATTCTTCTATCATTAGAGTGCTAACTTCCAAACTTCTAAATATCCCTTGATATTTTTTAAAAATTGCTTATAGGATTTAATTTTAAAACAGGATTTGAAACATGTATTATTTGTCTTGATATTTAATTTCTGCATTATTTGTACTTTATCATATGTTGTGTTCATATAATTTAATAATTGTTCAAGTGTTTAATATTTATTAAATTTATCAACTACTATTTTCAAGGATGCAATTGTAACTTTTACTTTTGAAACATATGCACTTTGTTGTTTGAAATCAGACCATGTCAATTGACTTTTGATTACTCATAATGGCTTCAAATAGGAGTTACAGAGCATTAAGAATTAAATACATTACCAATTCCAAGGACAATGAAATATGGAAAGTAAATTTATAAGAAATGCTTCAAAATGAATGGTTTCACATTAATTATAGGACTTCATTAATAAAACCAGAAATTCAGAATTAGAAGTAAAACATGAAATTATTATTAAGAATTGGTTTCTGATACACAGTATGCTGCCTAGGCACTAGGGATATGTTATATAGATTTACATTTAAAAGATTCCAAATGACTATTGGATCACTGTTTCTCTGTAAAGCTGAAATGTCAATGTTAATCCTTAGTCTCAGGAAATTATATCCTCCCATGTAGAAAATGCTTACCAAAGGGGAAAGCCCCATTTGTACTTTTCCCTATAAGTTTTATGCTCATGGTATAACTAGGAATGTCATATTGATAACCCACTGAGAAAACAACTACAACAAATTCTAAATCTATAAATTATTTCAATAATCATAACCATGTTACTTGATGTACATTTTGGAGCTCAAGATATATCTATGTTCCTCTTCACTCTCTTTGCTACTATCCATGATAGAAAGAACAGACTGGAGTCAACATAAATTTTCTGGATGTGATATTAGAAGGTTGAAGGAGTTCTCTTTAAATGGCTTTTGTAATCTGTATGACATTTGAGAGAGTTAAGTTCTCAGAGTTCAGGTAAGGTTATTGATTGTATCTCAGAAAAAAATATGATAATTACAGGAACCAAAAGTCGTTATTACATCTTGGTGGGGTCCTTAAGACATTTTTCCAATTATGGTCATGTTTTTAGTCATAATCATTTAGTTATTCCACAGTGTTTGATGTCTCATTGCTTAATGGGAGATACAGTCAAGCCAACCAGCAGTGAAAGGCCACTGTGATAAGTGATATAATAGCTACTGATACCATTCTTTATATATACTCTTGCTCACACTTGTCACACCAAACTGTACTTGCTACTTACTTGTCTGTATCTGTATCCGCCAAACTGTATGCTATTTGAGGGGAGAGATGCTATCAGGTGACCACTATCTCCTCAGAACCCAGCACACTGGCTGACAGGTAAAAGGCACTTGTTGTTTGCTGAATAATTAAATAAAAGTAGTATTTATGCTTATATGTATAACAGATATACTTGATGTTTGTTCATATAATGTTCATTTTATTAGCAATAACAATTGGGACCATTAATTAACTTCTCCACTCAAATACTGTTTTATATAATAGGAACCTTCTAACTTAAGGAATTTTAGGAGGCTATTTTTAGCAGTAGCATTAGATCTGAGAGTCACACCTACAGAGTAAACTGATTTTATGTCATTGTAAAATATGGTTAGAAGAAAAAGGGAATATACCCCTTGAATTTAAGTATGCAGACTGACAAAAAATGATAGGCAGAGAGACATTTCTACAGAGTCAAGGATAAGGAAAAGTAAAAAGGTACTGAAATGAACAATGGAGGTAAGGAAATATCATAAATGAGACTGCATGCTGAAATTAAATCATATGAGGCCTAATGATGGGCTTTCCATTATTACCATTGGGTTGTCTACCATAAGATTTTTTTCTCTAAGGTTTTTAAATGTATTCTCCAATGATTTTCTTTTTTTTTCCTGTTAACAATATATTTTCAATTTCACAGAAAGTTGTAAAAATGAAGAACATGTTGAATTTTCCCAGAATATCTCTGTTATACAGATGCAATTATTTATTCCAATAGAATAAATTAAGATATCAAGGCTATTACATAATTTCCTTTAACTATTTTTAAAATGTATTAAAATATTAGTACATATGGGTTGATATACTTTTACCAATATTGATTTGTACATACTTTCATGTAGATTTAGTTAACAATGCTATAAAAAGTACTAGACTGTGAGATAATACCTCAAATGTGTTAGAAAGGTTATATGGAAGAGACAAGAGATAATCAAGTGTTGGTGAGGGAATGCTTTTACACTATTAGTCAAAATGTAAATTAATATAGCCATTATGGACAACAGTATAGAGGTTCTGCAAAAAATTATAGAACAGAACTATTGTATGAACCAGCAATTCTGCTTCAGGGTATATATGTAAAGAAATGAAATCAGCATCTTAAGGAGATATCTGCACTCCCATGTTCATTTCAGCATTATTCCTTGCAGCCAATATATGGAAACAACCTAAGTATATATCAATGAATAAATAAAATACAGTGTGTGTATGTGAATATATATATATATACATATATATATATATGTACATAATACACATATAATATTCAATATTCCATATAGAGTATGTGTAAGTATAGATATTATGTATATAATATTCATATCTCATATACATGTATGTGGGATATATGAATATTATTCTCTCTTAAAAAAGGAAATCCTATCGTGTACTACAACATGGATGAATCTTCAGAACATTAAGATAAGTTAAATAAACCAGGCACAGATGCTATATCATCTCATATGTGCAATGTAAAAAAGTCAAATTCATAAAAGCCCAAGTAGAATGGTAGGTGATAAAGGTTGGGGGTGAAGAAAATGGGAGAATTGGTTGAAGGAGAGAAGACTTTCTATCAAGCAGGAAGAAGTTTGAGAGATCTAATGCACAGGATAGAGGCTACAGTTAATACTACTACACTGTATACATAAAATTTGCTAAGAGTAGATCTTAAGTGTTCTCACTACAAAGAAAAAAAGGAAACTGTGAAGAGATACATGTTCATTAGCTTGACTACAGCAAAAATTCACCATGTATATCAAAACAGTATGTTTTCCATTTTAACATACACAACTTTTATTTTTAGAACTGAATTTTATTTTTCTAGAACTGAATTTACCTGTTGATCTGAATCTGATTTTAGTACAGATCTGTCTGTAATCAGAACTGCCCTGGAGATCTGCCTGTAATACACAAAAGAGTAAAGCAATGATTCAGATTTCATGAAAAAGTAACATTTATAGTTATATAACCACCAGAAGGTTTGTTTCAAAGATTCAAGTCAGGATAAAAGTGTTGCCTCCCCAAACCAAGTCAAATTCTGCTTTAATCTTTTCTTGGCTCATGAAACAAGAGTATATGACCTACAGACAAACCCCAGCTGAAACAAAGAGTTGAAATTAGGCTAAGATCCCCCCAAAAAGACTCTCTACGAGAAGAAAGGTAAGATACTGAATATAACTTAACTTTGCTATACTTTACATGTTACTTGAAGGACAGAATCCTAGAGATGTGTCAATACAATCACAGAGCATTAAGTTTCACCTTCCCTTGTCTTGTGGGTAGAGGGGCGCCTTACCTGTATTGCACACGTGAGCATGTGTTCTCAGAAAAGTAACTGTCCTCCACAAGGAAATGCTTAGAGATTATTCTCTGACCAAACTGATCTATAATTGCTTTACATCTATAAAGAAGATAAGCATAGCATATTAAGAAAATGAAAATAATCAGCTACTGGGTTTGAAAATAAAACCTTGTGAATATTACAAAATTTTCTACAATTCTATATTTTCTAATACAAAACTGACAATTAATTACAGAATATGTATTCTTGTTGCTATTTTGACATCTTTTAATCTATAAAATGAACATGGAATACAACTTAAATACTTATTTAATTACAATTAGTAAGCAAGTTATAAAAAGTATTAGCATGTAATTGTAAGCTTTCCATGTGTTAGGAAGTTTTTTCTTTGTTTAGAAAATGGGCCTTTTTCCCCCCTTAATAGTTCTAAGAAAAAAAGGAAAGAAAAGTTGATTAAATATCTTGTTATATTATTCACCATCTGTACAAGCCACTGAAGGCTTTTTATTTTTCTGTTAAGTATTGCTTTCTCTTTTGTTCAAGAATAGCTATCTGCTCATGCGTTTGATAATGTTTTAAAACAGAAAAAAAGGGGGGATAGAGCTTCTTTTAATATCTGTTTCCACTTTACTTCAAAGGATGATCATAGAAAGATTTCTTTCAAGTGCTGTTTCCAAATAAGGAAAACACTTATGCATGGACATTATCAGGTCTCTGTCATCTGATATGTGTTGGGACAATGAATCATATAGAACCCTCCATTGACCTTCTTTCAATGTGTCTAGATAAAAGGATGAAAATTAGAATCCATCTCCTTGCAGTGCCACAAGTTATAAATGTACTTTATAGGGCTCATTATCCAAACTAATGGACTAAGGGCGACATCCTTGAAATGGACTTACCAGTACTGACAAAGCCAGTATGCAATATTTCAGGAACTATATGCAAACGACTATGTGTTTGCTATATCTTTTTGTTATGGAAATATCAATTTACTTTTGGGACCAGAATTATTTTATTTGAAATACATGATGATCCTTGTAAAATCCAAGAAAAAAATCTCAAAATCATACCACATTTAAAATATACTGGTGAATATGAAAATATGTTCACCTGCTCTAAAATTGGCAAAATAAGTGCTGTCTACCTGGTATCAAGGCTTTAAATGATGAACATTTAAGACTAATAGTGAGAGAAATTTTGTTTGTGTTTCCTAAAGGCAGATTATGTTTCACTGATATTTTTAAATAAATGGCAAAACACTTTTGTCAGGATAGGCTATGATGTCTAGAGATGCTTTATGTGCTTAATATATATGTTTTAAACAAGCACATATTAATATAACATTTGTTCTAAAGTATTCCATTAATTAGTATTATAAAATATTTAACTAAATCGATGAAAGATATTACACTTAGATATTTTCCAAAATAAATTGTTTAAAAACTGAAAAGTTAAGTTTCTCATTTGGTCTGTTTTGAAACATTCATAAGCAATTTGAAAAACAAAGTACTTCAGGCAATGGGGAAGAAAAATGTGATGATAAGTCATTACACATAGTGATCTCTATTTGTCCTATAAGCACTGACAAAACTATTCTTACCTTTCACTCAGAGACCATAGAAATCAAAAGGACAAAATGTGAGAAGAAAAAAGGGGGGTCTAAAATGTACATTTTTAATAGGGATTTGGGTTATACAGTTTAACATTTGTTTAAACTCAGGTAATGAACACTTAATATTTGGACACTTCACTGTAAATTTTATAATCAAAAGAAAAATACTGAAAAATACTAGTGTATGATAAATATAATGAAGTGTTAAGGGAAATTTTTAGTGATACCTACAACTTACTGTGAAATGCATAAAAAATGAATTAATAGATGGGTAAAGGGAAGAGTACATGAGGAGTTATATGAATGAGCAAGTATTTCAAAATGTTAATTACAGAACCTGAGTGTTAGCTATCCCAGCCTTCATTTTAAATTCATCATCAAAAATTGAAATAAAACTGAGAGGAGAGTGATGTTAATATAAATCTAGGTTTGAGTGTAAGACTATTGCAAAGGGTTTCTATGTAAATAAACTAAACTTCAGCCTCAAACTTGTGTAAACCTCCTTATTTTGTAGGTTTCCAAACACTAATAGGGCTGCTCTGGTAATAGTACTTCTGGTGACAGGCAGACATTGGTTTCAGAAGCTATGATATTCAAAAGAATTAAGGGGACCACTCAAAGGGGAAATATGGGACTTAGTAAGCCTAACTTTGCAAGAAGACAGTAATAAATATGCCAATTAATGCTGAAACTTCTAATGAAACAGTGACTCTCAAAGGAGGAGGAGGAGGAGAAGGAAGCAAATCAGAATCACACCTGGGGGACTTTTTCGAATTATAAGTACCCCTGGAGATTCTGATAAGCTCCCAAATCCCAGGAAAGAATCACAGCCAAGCATGCCACTGTTACTGTTGCATCTTTATAATGTACTAGGTGGAAAAAAAAGTAAACAGCTACTGGTACAGAGAAAATGTCTATTTCTGTAGAAATTGAAGTGATGGTCATATAAGCCAGTCTCAGTCTGGTAGATGATAATAACATGACTCACCTGTTAGTCTCATTCTTACTCTGAAGAACTAAGGCTCTAGGCCTAAGCAAAGCTGTTCAAACCAAGACATGTTTAAGTGGTAAGATTTGTTTTCCCCTCAGATACTTCACTTACTGTCATATATTCTGCCTAATCAGGAGAACAATGAAGAAAGGAATATTGATTTGGGGCCTATTTTTAATCTTTACGTTATAAAGATTAATACAAAATTAGATGACATTCAAGTAATGGGAAACAGCAAACTTAACAGTGCTGCCAGACACATTAAAATACCCTCCTGCCCAATCCTCCCATACAAACCCAAGGAAGCCATTAAAGATTAACAACATTTAGGATTTAGATGAAGGCTTGTTGAGCCTCATAAATAGTAGATTGAGGAGGAACATGATAGGAGTTCCCAGTTACAGGGACACAATGACCAAGATGATCATAAGAATCACTGAGCCAGACAGAACATTTCTAGGGATAATCTTTCTAAATCAACAAATCACAGTACTTATTCAGTTCTTGGTTCATCAAAGATACCAGGACATAAATAGCAAAATGATGATAAGGAAGAAAACACTAAGATAAAAATTCAATATCTGGAATCTGGTCCAGAAGAAAAAAAATATTAAAATAGGTATCCAAACCCTATGATCTTCAGATTTAATATCCCAACTAATTATATAAAGAAAGCAGAAATCGCCTGTGAAATAATTAAAATACTAGTGAAATTCAGAGCTTCCCAAGCACTGAAGGGAAAATATAATTCTCCCTACTCAACAGTCCCTTAAGAGCTTTCTGAAATGCTATAGTTAAAAGGCCATCTCATTCATGAAACCATCTTCTAGGCTTCATGCTCGTTTTTCTGGAGGGAATATTTACTGCAATAGTTTCAAACCATTAACAGGTAGATAACTCCCAAACTTTGGTTTTCTGTTTTGACTTCCCACAAGCTCTGTATTTATATCTTTTCTTCCTTCCTTTCTTTCCTTTCTTCTTTCCCTTCTTTTCCTTCATTACTTCCTTCCTAGACTTTAATCCTCCTTTAAAAACATCTAATTGTCAAACAAAAGTTTTATATTTTTTCCAGGAATACAATGTGATGGCATGTTATAGGTATAGACTGTGTAATAATTAACACAGTGAAATTAACTAATACATCCAATCACCACCCACAGTTAACTTCCGTGTGTGAGGTTTCACATAAAAAAATGTGGTATTATTAACAATATCTGTTTTTGTGTACAGTGCTGGGATTGAACCCAGGGCTTTGTGCAAGCAGGGCAAGCACTGGACCAACTGAGATATTCCCAGCCCTAACCATGTCTTTTTTAAAACTAGCACACCCTAAACTGAGTTTATCATGGTACCTCACCTACTTCCCTCCCTTGGAGTCCCTCTATTAGATAATGGCAAAACCAGAAATTACAAGTTTCCTTACCTTAAATCTTTCTTACATCTAATCTGCTACTAAATTTTGATTATACTTTATAAATGTTTTTTGCAATTAGTCTCTTTTCTCCATCCCTACTGATACTGCCTCAGATTCTTATTATGTATAATAAGGCAATGGACTACTAGCAAGTTGGTACCTCATTAGTTCAACATAAATGTATAATATAACACCCATGTACCAAGCACCATTCCAAAAAGTAAGAAAAAAAAAAAAAAGCCTTGCCCTGAAGGAGCTCCTGATATAATGAAGATTAGACACAGGGTATTTTAACATAACAGCAAGATCCAGTGATAAGATGAGGACAGGGCATCAGAGAGTGCTAAGGGGAGTTATCTAACTCAGCTTAGAATGCAGGGATAGAGTATTAGAGAATACTCTGTATAGTTAAGCAAACAAATAAGGAGAAGAATACCTCAGCAGGAGTATAGAGTCAAGTAATACAAGAACAAGTACAAAGACATACCACTGGTTCATTATTATTTGACAATAAAATGGGAAGCAAGAAAGAGAGATGAGCCTAGAGAAGCAGGCAGGGGCCAGATCTGTCTTATATGTTGTGTACAAAGGTGTTAGACTTTACTTTGAAGTAATATAAAACTGCCAAGCCTCTTTAAATGGGGAAGGAAAATCAGATCTTCAGACTGAACAGATCCTAGTGTGCAAATACCTTCTTAATTTATTCTTTTTGCAATGTCCCCCAGTAAGCTCTATGAGGACAAAAGGCCCTAATTGCCTTATTGTTTACTAACTCCACAGTGCCTGAAACATAGAAAACAACCAATACTTGTTTCATAGATGGTGAATGGATGGATGATGGAAGTATTTTATGCATGTGAACAGTATAGACAGAAAGGGCTGATACAGAATCTCTGATATAGGAGGTAAAGAATCTCTTTCCATCACAGTGCTTCTTCTAAATCACTGCCATCATTACTAACTTAACAGCTGAAAACTGAGTCTTGCTTAAAAATACAAAATATTATACTCCAAATTCCTTAGCAAAGGATCCTCACAATAGATCTTCCTGTGTAAGATGCCAAGGTGTCCATTAATATTAACAATTGCTACTAATATACACTGAACTCTTTCTATGTATAACAAATGGTTTTTACAAGCTTTATTCATTTAATATTCATAATAATCCTATGGGGCAAGGTATTGCCAATTACTCCTCTTTCCAAGTAATGAAACTGGGGTAAAAAGAAGTTAAACAACTTGTTGAAGTTCACACATATAGAAAGTAGCAAAGTCAGGATCAAATTCTAGACTACCTGACTTTAAAGCCTACACTCTTAACTACAGTCTCTGTATAAAAGGGCAGGGTCTATCTTTTGCTTACTTGTTTATCCCTGTAGCAACTACCATGGGGTTCATTAAAGGTTAACTATCTAGAATACAATCATTACCCCTTTGCCAATGGAATACACTGAAATCACAGCTTCAGAGATGATAAATGGTATTGAGTCATCCATGTTATGCTGACATACTATTATTACTAACTCCCAAGCATCCAGGTTAGGTAAAGTTGTTCCTGACATCAGAAAAACGTTATCTTAAAAAAAAAAGTCATGGCAGAAAATCCAGTTAAATGAGAAAGTTAAAGTACACATGGAACACTAGTTGGAAGTCCTAAGGTGAGGACCACTGATAATAGATATATCTGGTCCAAGGTCTTACCTAGCCTACCCAAATATCAAATATTGTACTCCTAAATGGCAAAGTTTAATTAACATGAATTTTACCCAGTAAGGTTAGCTGCAAAGGAAAAAAAATAAATAAAGCTATTCCAACAAGAACATTCATTGATTCCAAAAACAGCCAGCAGAGGGTACAGTATTAAAATTTAGAAAAGAACTAATACATACCTATAGTCTTTCAAATTAAGAAAGTAGCATTAATGGATAATATAGTGAGGATAACACAGGCAATGTGCATCTCAGAAAAATCAAATTAAACAAAAATCAAAACTCAGATCTATTTAAAAATAAATATGCATTTGTTTATATATTCCATATACTATTATTTCCTGTGTGTCCTTAATGTTCTATTTTATCTCTCAAAGTTTGTACAGTACTTTGATATATAATTACCTCATTAAACTCAATACTATGATCATTTATGTTTCTATCAGGTTTCATAGATGGAAGGTGAAAAGTACCAAAAAGGCTATAATCAGTCTTTAATCTTCATTCACTCATTTAATTCAAAAGTTACTGAGAATAATAGGTACTAAGAACCTGCCTAAATTTGGGGGATACAATAGTAAGATCCTGCCTTTTCCTACAGATAACTTATCAATTAATCATATAAAGGTACCTGACTGGTAGGTAACATAAGGTTCTGACCTAGTCTGTGAGATCAGGAAATGAACTTAGAAATTTGACCTGACGCATCTTACACATTAAATATGTAATGTGAAGCTCTTACACATTAAAGTGTAAAGGAAATATCAAGCATTCCACATAGAAAAATAGGGAAAGATCCAGGTGTGGTGGTGCATACCTATAATCCCAGCATCTAGGGGTGGGGGATGAGATAAGAGAATCACAAGTTCAACACCAGTATCAGCAGTATAGCAGGGCCCTCAGCAACTTGTCTCAAAATAAAAAAAGAGGGGCTGGGAATGTAGCTCAATGGTAAAGTACTCCTGTTCTATCCCCCCACCCACCCCTACCAAATTTTTTTAAAAAAGCAAAGAGCAGCAAACTAAATTTATAAGGAGACAAATGTAAATCTTAGTAAATCCCTTACTTAATATTCTGATTATAGATTATACCAAGATTTCTTAAAAACAAACATGTGCTGGATACACCTAACTACAAGATTAGGGTTTTTCCTTAACTACTGATCAAACCTTCACATTATATTTAAGTTCTCACAAAATATCTCCTATTATGGGTATTTCTCTCAAATATTTGATTTTGTATGATGAAGTAGTGTTTGAGAAAGATATATTAGCCTGAACCAACCTGAATCAATGCTAACTTTAGGTATTTATAGAGACTATTTTTAACTTGATATATTTTTTTAAAGAATCAAAAATTAATATAAATTGGTAATTGTTACTAAAGGTACAAATCTATAATTTTCAAGTATTGTTTCATTTTTAAATTTTTTTTTAGTTGTTGACAGATATCTGGCAGGTTCCTCTTGAAAATGTCTTAGAACAAATTAAGACCTAGAGCCCCCAGTCCATCATAGATCACAGTATGCTTGGCTAAATCTTCAACTTTACCTTATACAAATAATTGTTTCTCAGTGTCATCTAAGGATTAGCACATTGTATTCAACTGGGATGTTCCATAAAACTGGAAATTCCTGGTTCTACCATAAGCATATCACCAAATTTCATTCCCTGAGGATAAAACACAAGAAATCCTTCCTTTTTTTTTTTAGAAGCATGCCTGGCAATTCTTAAAGACACATTATACTTTGAAAACTACCAATCTGGCAGTTTTTTTGGTCTCTAGACCTTTAGATCTAAGCTACCTGCTTCAACTGTCATCTCTGCAGAACATAAAAAGAGTTCTTTTGTTCACTGTACATCATAGAAACTAAGTCAAAGGTAAGGTAAATGTATCCCTTAGTTCAACAAGTGTTATTACTGTACCATTGCCCTGGCAAAATGAGCCATGCAGATACTTCATGTCACTGAGAATAACATGTGGGACTGGTATGGAGCTAAGCAAATAAGCACCAAACAAGCAATTCATTATCTGATTTTCTGTCATGGGAATACGCTCTTGCTTCAAAATGAACTCAGAAGGAGAAATGTCTATGGAAGTCATACAGAAAACCATTCATTCATGAACTTCTACAGAGCTCTTCAGGAGCCAAAATATGAATACCCTCAGCTTTGGTGGATTTTTTTTTTAACTTTAGATTATCATTTTCAATTTATGTAATACCTTTCTTTTAAGATGCTAAAGGTGATTTAGAAGCCTTTTAAATCATGTGTCAATTTTATCGTACATTACAAATTGCAAATTCACTAAGCATTGGACTTGGAGTTTTGTTTTTTCTTTGCTATACCTTAAAGTAATAGTTATTGTACTATATCTAGTCTATGAAACATTCGTAGCCATTTAATGCCCCTAGACTACACAAAATTATTGAAAAATGAAAGAAATAGCTTAAAACTTGTAAGATTCCAGATCACAATATGACATTTATGACTCTAACAATATTATTTCTATAAATAAATACAATAAATGCCACCAAAACTATAGAGTACTAAAAACAGTCATCCAAAAAGTATAGGTTACTAGATGCTTAAGAACATATCACAAATAAGAAAAGTATACATCGGGGCTGGGGATGTGGCTCAAGTGGTAGCTCGCTCGCCTGGCATGCGTGTGGACCAGGTTCGATCCTCAGCACCACATACCAACAAAGATGTTGTGTCCGCCGAGAACTAAAAAAATAAATATTAAAAAATTCTCTCTCTTTAAAAAAAAAAAAACACAGCCTTTTAAAAAAAAAAAGTACACATCAATCTCAACAGCTTCAAAAACTTGACCCAGTTGACCTATTTTAGGTTCAATGTGAAACACAGAAAATATAGTTATATTTTATTTAATATAATTTAGACAACTGCATATCTTACTAACTAATAATAAATCCTAGGAAACAATTCAAATATACATAGGTGAATAGGTAGTGCTCAGCTTAAAAAAAAAAAAAAGCAGATAAATTCTTGTTTCAATCCTAAGCCAGCCTGTAGGGCTGCTATTGTTGTAAAAGAATTTATCCTCAGATAACAGGGCAGCATAGTTTATGACAACAATCTACCTAAAACCTCATTAAAGTCTTTTCTCTTGGAGTGACATGCATTATCAGCAGAGATTAATCTGATGAGTCTTTAGGTGAGCTCCATTTTTAAAAATGCAATAACAGAGGGCTTTGTTGTCATCTGATGAAAATCAATTAGAGGAGGTAAGGCCACAAGGAAAACTAACATCACTCATCACCCACCCCCGGCAGCTGAAATGATTTGTCTTCCAAGCTTGGATGATCAGGGGCTATAGTCATATTGCAGGGAAATTAATTTAGTTTCTATATTCTGAACTCACTTTCCTTGTTCTGGAGGACCTAAACACAAATTACTTTTAATCAAGGTTGATATGTTATTAATATCAAGGAAAATCTTTCAAGAATCTTTTTTTTTAAATTGACTTCAGCATTTTTCACCTGTGTTTGGGGTACAAATATATGAAGGTTACTTATATCATCCTTACTTTCTGGATTCTTTGTCCACTACAAGGCACTGTACAGAATGGCGAAGACAATAGATTCCACCAAACACAGCACACATCCTAGAAAGAAAATAGAAAAATAAGAACTAGGATAATTGAGTTGAAAATTAAGGTAAGAGTATTTTAAGTATCTTACATTTAATAACTGATATTACAGAAAAATATATGATCATTTATAATTTTCTCCATCATGGTATTAAGAGTCTATCAGAAGTAAGATTAGCAATATCTTGATGCAGCAGAGCTGTTACTGCTAATAATACAATGTTAACACATGCAATTGTGACCAAGCCAGAAGGGTTCCCAAGCAGGTGACGATTATCCCCTAAAATCAGCTCCTGCATACTTAAGATGCATAAACCACAAACATCTTCACAAGGTGATATGTAAGACACCCAATCAAAATCACCATAGAAAAAGTGTTAAGGAGGGACCAGGAAGGGAAAACTTTGGGAGACCCCTGGAAACTTTACTTACCACAAAAGTAAGCGAAATGACCAAGAGCCAAAATTTAACTGGTAATTGAAAACTAGAACAGCAAGTGTATGAGTTAATGCAGCAGAAGGTCTAAGACGCTTTCCTAACTCAGCAATCTAAGTTTTGGGGTTTTAATGTCCACATAGGAGATGCCTTAAGATCTAAACAAGCCAGGGAGCAGAAAAATAACTAATCTCTCATAACATCTGGATGTTTATGGGGCTGCATCTCAATTAAATGGTGATCTCAGAAAGAAATCCACTTACTAACAGAGGGAGAAAATGAATCATTGTTTTGTCTTAAGTCTGGGAGAGGAAGATTATAACTCTGTGTTTACAGCAAGTGGCCTACTCTCACATAAGCTAGGGAGGCAATCATTGTAACCAAATGAAATACCATGAGAAGTTAGTGATAACTTGGAAACCTGGAGGAAGCAATTGCTAAAGCTTTCTACCAAGATATGACTTCAACCAAGGCCATGTGCAACTGTCAAAAATAAGATACCCCTAATGATGAATTTTTAGTCCAAAATCACATATTAAGAAATGTGTCAACCCCTAAGGGAGAATCAGCACACAAAGCAAAGAGCAGAACTAAACTTCTCAAAATTTTATTCAGATATAACTATCAGATTATTAGTGTGACTCAAACATATGAATCAAAAATATGAGAAAAGATTAATGAAATGTCCACAAGGAAGGCTGCAGTAGGCTGAAAATGCCACCCACCCCCACATCTTCCCCAAGATATCCACATCTCAGTCCCTTGGAATGTGAATAAGTAATCTTACATGGAAAGAAGGGCTTTCTAGGTGTGATTATATTAAAGATCTTAGGATGGGAATATTATCATGGTGGGTACAATATACTTACAAGGTTCCTCAGAAGAAAGTATAAGAAAGTCAAAGAAGATGTGAAGATGGGAGCAGAGATCAGAGTGTCTCCACTGCTAGAAGGGGGACTCAAGCCAAGAAATGCAGAGGAGGCCTCTTTAAACTGATAAAAAGTCAAGGAACAGAGTCTTCCCTAGTGCCCCAAGAAGGAATGCAGTCCTGCTAACCAGTTTTTAGACTTCTGACCTGCAGGATGTAAGATAATAAATTTGTGTTGTTTTAAGTTATTAAGTTTTTTATGGTGGCAATAGGAAATTAATAGATAAAAACTATGCATATTCAGAAATGATTATATGACAGAAGTAGCACTGTAAACAACTAAAGAATGGACTATTAAAAATGGCTTGGAGACAATAGTTTGTCTATATAAGGAAAATAATTACATCTTTGCTTTATGCCATATTCAAAACCAATTCCAGGTAGTTGAAAGACATACATGTAAAAAGTAATAATTTTATAAGAAAATATAGAAGGACATGTTTTTTAACTGAGGAAAAGATTAGTTCAATATGATGCAAAAAATCATAAAGGAAAAAGACTGGAAATGGAACACTTTATTTTTTTTTTAGAGAGAGAGAGAGAGAGAATTTTTTTAATATTTATTTTATTTTTTTTAGTTTTCGGCGGACCAACATCTTTGTATGTGGTGCTGAAGATCAAACCCAGGCCACACGCACGCCAGGCAAGCACGCTACCGCTTGAGCCACCTCCCCAGCCCCTGGAAATGGAACACTTTAAACATTTAAATATCTGAACAAAAAAAGTAAAGACAAATGACAGACTGGCAAAGATATATATTTTATATTACTAATTGTTTAAACTAATTGCTTAAAAAGTTTGTATAACATTTTGGCAAATCGAGTTCAAGATTCATGTATCCACAGAGCATCAATTCTATTGTTAGATATAGGGCTTTTACCAAGCCTCATACATATACAGATAAATGTGCACAGCATAAGGTTAAGAGGAAGAATTTTGACTACCTAAGTTCATTTACCAACTATTCCATCTACTAGCTCTGTGACCTTGAATGAGATATTTAGCCTACCTGTATCCTATTTTTCTCAGGTATAGAATAATATCACTGACTTATATAATAAGTGTCCTTTTGGGCAAGAAAGGAATTAATATTTGTAAAGAAGTTAGTACATGCCATACAGAAATATATGTGTTCATTAAGAGGTAGTATTTTATATATATCACAGACAACCCAAATATCCATCAAGAGAAGAATAAATAGAAGAAAATATATATTCATATGTTGTAGTAAAGAATTTCACCTCAATACTTGTAAGTAGTCAAAGGACAACTGGAAACTCCACATTGGGAATCCTTCTGGGCTCTGTCCTACACACCTCTTTACTTGACTAACTTCAATCTATATGTATTCCCTCGAATAAACTAAAATAATAACAGCTTTTAAGGAACTCTGTCAAGTCCATGTAGTAAATAATCAAACCTGAGGGTAATTCTGTAGAACCCACAATCTAGCAGCTGGTATTATAATTGTGAGTGGTCTTTTGGAGACTACATCCTCTAACTGTACAGTCTAATACCTTAAAATTAAAATGAATTAACTCCAGCCCCATCTACAAATATGGACACATTTCAAAACATTAATACTGATCGATAGCAAGTTAGGGAAGAATACTTTCAGGGATATCATTTACAAAAATTTTAACAACTCTATATGCAAAATAATGTTATATCTCAATTAAGAGTATACAGATAGATAGGAAGGTGGGTGGATAGGAGGGTGGGTGGGTGGGTGGATAGATAGAGATATGAAGTATGTAAAAATTCAACAGAATTATAAATACCAAATTCAGCATAGTACTTCTTTGAAGGGAGGGAATAAAAGTTATACTGAAGATTTCAATTGCTCAAATTCTTCAAATATGGTCAAATTTTAAGATCTGAAAAAACCAGGAGTACATGGTTTTTATTCTGTGTACTATCTGAGGCATTCTGAAAATATTTTATAATCTACAAAGATTTTAAGTATAAATGGTAGAAATAAGTGACATTCTCTAAGTATGGGGGAATGTTTCTACTGTCTTTCTAAATTCAATCACTTTAGTGTACATGACAAAGCTGGCTATGGTAGGTTCAAGGTTAGGTAATAATTTATTCTGATATAAATCCTCAATGATATAAATAAATTATTTTCCAAAAAAGAAGTTTAGAAAGTACAACAAAGGCATATTAGAGTCAGCAGGTAAAAATCCCTATGCTTGAGAAGACTTGTGAACACTATATATTTTACCTAGGACACCAGCTGTAAGACGCTCTCCTTTTTTATTAAGTCCTGTTCAGCAATCACATATAAAATTATATAACAATATTTATCAATCATACTGGTACATCTGGTATTGAGACATTAGACACTATCAGAGTCTGAAGAGGGTTAGAAAAAATAAATCTTTTGGTGAACTATTTTACAAGGTGATATATTGCCTTCTGTTGTTGATGGGGGGGATACTGGTGCAGAGAAAGTTGATGTGATCAAGACAATTGGCCCTGTTTTCAATGACAATTTCCTGTTTATACTGAAAGAGCCCATATGAAAATGAACTATTACTGGCCAATTCCACATAAATAGGCTGAATTAGGTTAAGGCCCTAAAATGAACAAGTTATAACTATGGACCAGACCAATGTTTCCATTTGCCCAGGGATATCTTTATATCATATGAGGGAGCACCATGTTTGCAAGCACTGCTACAGATGAGCTGTTACAAATGCATCCACTGAGTTTTTCATTTTAGTCAATTTGGTTCAGGTTTATATATACATGCACATATACACAGAACATTAGAGAAGACTTAACCTTGTTGGGTCAATCCCCCATTGAAGAAAAGCTATTTTTAAATGTCATCCTAGATTCCAAGAGGAAACAAAGGAATCAAGTTCAGAACCAACTGGAATTTGGTTCTGAATATAAGGTTAAAATTATAAAATATCATGACACAGACTATAATTATATTATCAAAAGACTGAGTGATACATTTAACTGAAATTAATGTAATGTCTATAAAGACTGCCTTTCATTATGTATTACATTGTTTACAGAACATATTGTTAGTATAGTTATTTCATGAAGTATCCTGAAACTTTGTTTTATGAGCTAAATGAGGCCTCTAAAAATATATTTAAATATAAAATATAAGCAATATCTGTAACTTTTGTTTTTAGAATCTATCAAAAATTACCTGCTTTTCAACAATATGATCTATTAACAGTTGGCATGCACTGCATGGAAGAAACACAAGAAAGTAATAAGGCTCCACTAGATAAATGCTTGCTTTTCAGTGCCTTAAATGGCAGCCCAGCAACCCAAGGATTAACAGGCTTTACCAATGGAAAATGAAGTTATCCAAAAGAGCAAACACCTTAGAGATGGTCAGGCGTCCATTTTGGTTCAGTTTATAGCAGCCATTCTGGGACCTGACAGAATGCCTAGCAAGGTTGGTCTGTACACCTACCTTCTCTAGGATAATATGAGACCTAGAGGCAATTAAGTAAGTATTATGGGACTTATCGTACAAAAAGAAATCTACAAGTGTTCTAAAAGAGTAAGTAGTACTTTTCCTCCGAAGATCACTACAAAAATACATTTGAACACTTTGTCAAATGCTATTAAAAACAAACCAAACAAAAAAGGGTCTATTGCAGAAGGGGGAAAAAAACTG